GAGGTGGGTGGGGTGGTGGGGGTGAGGGGTGAGGGGTAAGGAACAGACTGTCTATGACTTGGTTTGCCAGCTCGTTATCTCTCTAATCATGGGGTCCACGACAACCTCAAACCGCTAATTTAGCTATAATTATTAGTATTATTTTTGAAATAATTTACTTTCAATTTTTGAAAATATGGTATGAAATGTAATCATTGTTAGCTAGAATCTTCTTGGTATTATAACATAGTTGGCCTCCATCAACTTTCTAAATTCCTTTATGAATTCATCAAACTTGCCTTTTTTTAGTTCATATTCATTTAATTACTTGCCTTTTTTTAATTCATATTCATTTAATTTCTTGCTTCTGCTTTTTGTTAATTGAATTAATATGTTTTAATTCACTATCTTTTTCTTTGATAATATATTTGGCATTTCATAGGGCGGCGGCCGGCTTGTGGTTACGCCCTAGAAAATGGTTGATGTATATTTGGAAGATTTAAGTTATATTATTATTTATGATGAGAATTTTAATATTCCTATTAATTTAATGTTTATTATCAAGTTAATTGTTTTGTTTTAAAAAGTTACTTTCTCTTTTTCGATTTATGTAATATAGTTTTATTGGATACAAAAATTTAAAACTATGAGAATACTTAATGATTGTTTGGATATAAATATAAGTGGACTTTTTGTCAAATAAATGAACCCAACATTTGTAAAATATTAATAGTTTTAATATTTTCATTATTTTTAGAACTGACTAAAAAGAAAAATATGTCATATAAAATAAAAGATGGGTATTAAAATGAAATTTACCTACTACTCCCTCCCCACGATTCATATTAAGTGAATTTTTTTATAGTTCAAAATAAGTGAATAATTCAAGAACAATGTTGCAATTTTTTTCATATTTACCATTTATTTAATGAGTTTCTTAATTACTTTACATATTTTAGAAAAATAATTTAAAAATTAATAGAGGAAAGTAACTTTTAATTCATTTCTTTAAATATTTTTCTTATAAAATATTGTGACTTACCTCCAATAATTCACTTAATATGAATGAGAGGTATTATGTAAGTCAATTTAAAATAAATATTATAAATGAAGCTTGAGAAAATTATTCCCTTCCATTACCATCTTTTTTATTTTTTATATGTATAGATAAAATATATTTTATCAACACGGGTTATGATGTAGTGGTGAAACTGTTTCATCCTTAATTAGAGGTCTCATATTTGATCTTTGGGTATGAAAAAAGTTATGTTGGAAGCGCCACCCTGAATGAACACGGTAGTGCGCGATCCTGATTTAATCGGAGCTCCAATTCGAGCTCTAAACACCGGGTGAAAAATAAAAAAAAATCATTATACTTTAACCTAATGCTACAAATTAGTGTTTGCATTTTATGAATTGATTTTTTAGACGACCACTCAATTATTTCTTTTTTTTTTTGCTGAAGAAAGATTGTTTCTTGAGATATTTTTTACACAAAATTTAAAAATATATAGAAATTTTAAATCTTATAATCTTAAATTGAAGATAGACAGAATGTACCAAAATATTCTTTAATCTTATGCTCTGTAAATATGTCATTTGAAAAGTTAAGATTAAAATTATCTAAAAAGATAATATTTTTTAAAATGAACTTAAAAAATTTTATAAAACAAATAAAATGAAACAAAAGAAAATAATAAATATTAATTAAGTAACCTATTATTTTATGGATATCTTTATAGCTCCAAGTAAGTTTACCAAGTTTGTGGTGATATGTAGTCTCTCATGAAACCATTCTTATATATTCTTAGGTTTCCTCTGTCTTTAATATTTATCTTAAGATTAGTGGTTTATGTTGTTTTCCCTCTTTAATTGGTTTGGATGGGGGAGGGAGAGAGAGTTGCCTTCCAACTTCCTATGCCAAATTTCTATTTCTTTAATGTTATAATGTTACTCCAAGTTTTCTAACATGTCTTTTTCATGATTTAATTTATTGACTTTGTAGATGAGTATGTGTTCCAAAATATCATGAAAAATCCATTCCTCATCTTTAGTCAAAATATCAAAAGGATAAGATTAGGTAAAAGCATACAAGTCTACTTCAACCAACAAAAATAAACCATCATCAAATTTCAAAACCATGGGCAACCTTGAAAACACAAAGACAATGTGTACAAGACTCAAGAGTACAATTATTTCAAAGCTTCAAGGGATGGCATAAAATAATTGTTCATATTCAATTTTATTTTTTTTGGCACAATATATTATTCATATTCAACGTTTATTTAAAACTAATAAAACAAAATTAATATTCTACACACTTATTTTATTTTCCTATGATTATTACTATACATTTATACTTTAATTTATTATTCAATCATATAAATATAAATATCGTATGGTAATAACTTTTTCTTTTGAATTTTTAGATTACACAACAGTTCAACAAAGTGTATAACAAAAAATAGTATCAGTGTTTAAATTTTATAAATTTAACAGTATAATTATTACCCATCCTTTTCAAAAAAATTTCTTATTTGACAATACTTTAATTTCAACATCTCACATAATATATTTAAGGTCACAAATTAAAAAAATATTGTGATATATTATGTATATCCTTAGCAACCACAAATATTTTTTAAAAATAAATTATTGTGCCTAGTAAATTAAGACAAATTGAAACAGAAAAGAATATATAAATCTATAATATGTATGTAAATAATATTACGTACACACTAAATATATAACGGTGAATATTATAAATGATTATGATTAGGTGGTTAAATATTTTTTTTTTTTAAATGTTGGACTAAAAATAAAAATAGAATTCTTGGCTATTGCCATTTTATAAGGATGATGAGCTCACATTGAATCCCAAGATTTTATTCCTCAATCCAATTACAGCAGTAGCCACGCTGACATGCCTGTCATCAAATATTTAAAAATTAATTTCCGTAGACCGTTTAATTCGTGACACGTGTAATTCGAAGGCAATCCTTGTCATCAACCCCAGGTAACCAGTCTGTCAGAGAATACTCAAATTTTTGTTTCGAAAATACCCAACCAGGTTTTTCCTCATCACTTAATTAGTACTCCCTCAATTCCGGTTTATAGGAGAAAAAAAAAAAAAATTGGCCAGAAAATTTGATCAGAATAATATTTTATTATGTTATTTTATTTTTTAAAATATTTTTATTTTTTAAATTTTAATATATTTTAACTAAAAAATGAAAAAGATCAGTAGTTTTAAAATAAAAAAATATTATATTTTTTTTTAATTTTCTAGACAAATTCTGGCCAAATTTTCTGGTCCTTTAGCACTTGTTCAAACTAAAAATAGATATTCTTTAATACTGTTTCTGTCCACTTTTAATTATCATATTTTGTTCTTTTAGTGTCAAACTATAAAAATTTTGGTTAATATTTTACAGTGTATTTTTTATCATATTAATATGCAAAAAGTTGCAATTTATAGTACTTTTTGTATAGTTTTGGAATATCTAAATTATTTTGTTTAAAATATCGAATTAATGTAATCTAATTTAACTTTGAAAATTAGTCAAATTGATTTTCGAAAAGCACAATATGACAAATAAAAGTGGACGAAGGGAGTACTTTATTTGTCACATATTAGTTGATCATTTTACTAAAAAAAGTTTCATATTAGTTGATCACCTTACTAAATCAAGAAAACATTAATTAAATTTTTTCTATATTATCCTTACAATTAATTCTTTTTGAAAGTGTTCACATTTGTTTATAAAATTCCTAAGAAGTTTTTTTATAGGTATTTGGTAAAATTATTTCTTATTTATGATTTTTTTAATATGTGTGTAAAAAGGAAAGTGATCAACTAATATGGGACAAACGGAGTACTTGTCATTTCATAAAACCAATGCATAAATGACATTATTTTTCTTATTTTACCCGTTAGAGTTATCAGCTTTGAAAGTGTGAATTTGACCACCATAGAAAAACTAAATGATTAATTCATGTTTATTGATCAATTTAATTAATTAAAATAAATAAATCTATGTTCATTTATTAAAATGTTGATTTCAAAGAACACTAAATAAGGGTGCAATGATAAATTTACCTAGTTTTTAAGCGACGTAAAATTTACAACGGTGACAACTGAATAAGAACGGAGAGTGTACTTTAAACCGGATTACTCATTGATCCCAAAAGCGACTAATCCCTCTTATACAACTTTAATTTAATACTAATTAATAAGTTACTTCATCCATTTCAAAATAAGTGAAATATTGAATATTTTTCATAATTCAAAATAAGTGAATTGTTCAAAATTTAAGAGAGTTATCATAAGAAAATTTCCTCATTAATATTTTTAGGTGATAATTTTAAGAGAATTAATTGTTTATATTTATGATTTTACTTTAAAATATTTATATTTTCAAGAATAGTTTAAAAATAACTAAAAGAGTAAAAATGAAAAGTGGTATTCAATTATGTACGCCCTAATTTTTTTTCTTAATGTATTGCCTCGATAATTACTTATTTCCAAATAGAGTGAGGTAACTAATTTCTGAATACGTGATTGTATGTGTATTCCATGCTAATAATATAAACGTTTTAAATTAGTATAAAAGTATTATAACATGTGAAATAAGTTATATGAAATTTGAAG